GGAGGGGGGGGGGGGGGGGTTAAACCAGCCCTGAGGACTGAGAAGGCTCCACCCTCTGAGCCTCACTGGGCATGCCCAAGCTGCTCTGCTATAAAAGAGAGCAGCCCAGCTCAGTTGGGGCTGGTGGCCGGAGGGAGAGGACGTGCCTTGCCAGCTCCAGCAAACCACAGACGCTGCCCAAACGCCAAGGCACTACCATGCAGGCTGGAGGCCAGACGTGTCTACCAGCCCTGAGGACTGAGAAGGCTCCACCCTCTGAGCCTCACTGGGCATGCCCAAGCTGCTCTGCTATAAAAGAGAGCAGCCCAGCTCAGTTGGGGCTGGTGGCCGGAGGGAGAGGACGTGCCTTGCCAGCTCCAGCAAACCACAGACGCTGCCCAAACGCCAAGGCACTACCATGCAGGCTGGAGGCCAGACGTGTCTAGAGACCTCCCTGGTTCCAGACACCAGCAGAAGCAGCCAGATCTCAGACAAAGGAGGGGAACTGGAGATTCACCAGGGAGCAGATGCTTAAAGCAGGAAACAGCCTAGGGATGGCGAGGGCTACAGGGGGGGGCGAGCCAACTCCGGAGAGTCAGTGTGTTGCAGCTGGAATTTTCCCCACTGACTCAGTGGCTAGAGAAAGCCACTAAGAGGGCCCTGGGCTGGGGTCCAGTGGAGTGGGAGGGCCTGGACCCCACTGCCAGGGGATATAAACCCTTCCCTTGAGGGAGGATACCATCACCCCACGAGCAAGAGTGAGTTCTTACCAGAGACAATTGGACTCTACTGCCCTATAACTGGGAGTAATTTGCAGACTGTCTCTAGCGGGTGACAGCTGGGGCTTTGGGTGGGGGAGGGAGGATTTATTGTCCAGGACCACTGGAGGCACTGCCCTGTGACTATGGACAAGTTATAGACCGTGGACACTGGGGGTCACTACCCCCCAAGGAGGGGCGAGTCATGATTGGGACTGTTGAATTGCACTGCCCTGCAAACGGGGGCAAGCTGCAGACTCTGACCCTGGGGTCACGTTGTCCCACAAGGAAGGGCAAGTGATAGATAGGGATTATTGAACTGCCCTGCCTTGCAAATAGGAGCAAGTTAGCGACTCGGACCATTGGGTCACCCTGCCCCAGGGACCAAGGGGGTGGGTTATACGGACCATGGTGGGCGAGGTGAGAAATACGAGAGTGACGGGTGCGAGACGGACACTCCTGCCCCGCACAGGGCCTTCTCCCTAGTCGTGTCACACTGCCCCTGCACACGGAGCACGTGTTTTCAGAGGGTGACTCATGCCAGTGAGTGGGAGCAGCTAAGTTAGGCCCCCTTGTTTTGTGTGTAGAGTTGAGATCGTTTTTTCCAATGTGCATTAATCAACACGGATGAGGCCTCTCCAAATCACTGACGCTTCCTTGTGCCACCTTCACCCTCCTACTGACCTGGGCTCCTTTGCATTTTAGGATCCAATTCAAAATTGCCCTCCGTTTCTGAATCCTTATACACCGTTATTCTCCTCGTATCTTCACCCAGCCTTGCTCTCCCCCTGCCTTCACTCTCAGCAGTGTAGGCGGGAACATCGCTTTTCTTCTGCAGCACCTTGCACGTGTCTGCCTCAGTGATTTTCCAGTTCCTTCAAAATCCAGCTCGGAAGCCCCTCTAAGTGCTTATATTGTGTAAATGCCTTCTCCCTTCGCTATTATTTAACACGGCCATTGTACTTCACCTCAGGGACTTGGGAGAAGCAGACTGCATGAAAATCCCGATCGAGAACCAAGCTGTACATTGGCAAGGGAATTGAGCAAAATGGTTGCTCTCTGCAGTAGGACGTCGTGCGTTTTCCCCATTCCGCACTGCAGAACCCTCACCAGAGAGCTACAGTTTGCAGCGTCCTCTGAGCTAGAGCTGATATGCTGTTTGTAACGGGGGGCACGTAACAGCCCCAGAAACCACCACCCATCCAACAGGGGAACCCCCCCCCCGGGTTTGGCGCCCCAACGGAGGAAGGTAATTGCCTACAGCGCTTTTGTCTTTCTTCCGCAGGGTTGACCGTCCCCAGAGAGCATTGACACCATCCACCGCCACCAGGAGTCTAAAGGAACCGAGAGGACACTGGGTCTTCAGCTCTTTCAGCACAACCCCCACAGCGTCACTGGCATTCTTCACTCGCGTTACGCCCTAGGCGGATTGAACACAGCGTTAGCAACGGGAGCACGAGGGCCAGGTGCCCTCTGGAAGCCTCTCTATGAAAATGGCCCAAGAGAGACCTACGCCTCTGTCCTCCCCTCCCAAAGGGGCAGCCCAGTCTAGTAAACAGACTGAGCACGGGGATCGGTTTCAGCCAAGCCGGAGTTCTGATCCCAGCTCTGACACAGGCTCCTTGAGCAAGCCACTCACTTGAGTTCCATCCCTGCGCCTTGGAGAGGGGAAGCAACAACCCTTCCCAGGACCAAAGGTGAGCACCACACTGCTTTGGGAGCACTAACTACACGGCGTCTCCCCATCCCCGTGTCTTTCTGCCACATTATTGACAGACTCCAGGAACACTGTAGGCAGTTGTCACTCCCTCACCTGCTCTACCACTTCACCCAGTGGGCTGCCCATCTCAGTGCTTTCCCGTTTGCTCCACACATACGTCCGCTGGGTTTTTATCTGCAATAAAAGGAGAATTGAGGCAGAGGCAGAGCAACTGAACGCAGGGCAACAAAACCGAGGGGAGGTTTGGAACGGCTCCCATATGAAAAGAGAAACAGACTGAGACTTTTCAGTTTAGAAAAGAGGAGACTAAGGGGGGGGCGGATAGGATAAAGGTCTATAAAATCATGAGTGGTGTGAATAAGGAAAAATTATGTTCTTATTCCCACAATATAAGAACTAGGGGGTCACCAAATAACATTAATAGGGAGCAGGATTAAAACCAACAAAAGGAAGTTTTTCTTCAGTGAGAGCACAGTCAACCTGTGGAACTCCTTGCCAGAGGATGTTGTGAAGACCAGGAATTTAACAGGGTTCAAAAAAGAGCTAGAGAGATTCATGTAGGTTAGGTCCATCCATGGCTGAGTCAGGATAAGTAGGAATGGTGTCTCTAGCCTCTGTTTGTCTGGAAATGGGTGACAGGAGTGGGATCACGAGGATTACTACTGTGTTCACTCCCTTTGGGGCACCTGGCATTGGCCATTGTCGGCAGAGGCACTGGACTGGACGGGCCTTTGGTCTGACCCAGTCTGGCCCCTCTTATGTTTTTAGATGGAGAGCGTAAATGGCCAGGCTCCCATTCCAGGAGCAACTCAACAAACCTGGCTGGGCAGAACCCCCCCACTCCACCCCCACTTAGCTCCAGATGTGCTGGGAGAGACAGCTGCAGAAAGGCATTTCTTGAGGCAGCATCCCTCAGTGATACACGGACCGAAGTCTCAGACTTCCCCCAGCGATGGGACCCCTTTGCCATCTACGGGATCTTCCGTGCATTTCCAACCCCACCGAAACCGGCAGCCAGGTGAGTGACACAATGACTGGGACGTTATCCAGTGCGAAGGCGCAATCACTCCCCACTCGGGAAATGCTGCTCAGAGGAGCGAACAGCTCCACAGCCCCATCCCGTCGCAGAGGCCTTCCCGTGGGGGAGCACCTCCCGACGACGGTTCCAAGAGAAGCTGTTCTCTTGGGCTTTCCCTGGTTCCTCATCCAGGACTTGGCAGACTCTACTGACCTCTTTCAAGAAGCGTTCGTTTGAAACTTTGAAGTTCTTAAGCCAGGTAGATGCTTCTAGAGGCTGATCAAACCGCTCGTTGTGGTAGGACGACGGCAAAAGCTCCGTGCGGTTCTTCACCCAGAGGTGAGCTGTGAAGCAGAAACAAAAGGAGACAAACTGTCCTGTTTCAGAGTAACGGCATTTCTTTTTCTGGTCTTTTTTGCTCATTCTGCTCTATTCAGCACCAAAAAACCACTGTGCCATGTAATGGGCATGCCCCACTCTTGGGGAAACAGCCACCCAGCACACACTCACCAGGACTTCTACACAGCCTTCAAATGCAGCAGAATCTGCACCTCCGGGCACCAGTGCGCCCTGCAAGCTGGGTGCTTGTGTAGCTACCCAGAAGAGATTCAAATGCTGCCCAGATGATTAGTAGAGCGCCCAAGCCTCCCACAGCTGGCACCATGTTTCTACTGGTGGTGCACAGCTGCACATGCCTTGGTGCATGGAACAAAATTTATTCTGCACACAAATGAAAACATTAAGAGGGAACATTGTAGGGCACCCACACTGGACTGACTAGTGACAGAGCATGCGGTTAACGTATGCATGTATACAGGGGAAATAATGCTCTACATCGCCTCTGTTTTGCTCTTCATTTAATAACTTTTTATATCTCCCACTCTGAAACGTCTTCAGCCTCTTTGCCTTCCCTGCAGGTTAGATACGGCACACAGAGCAGTTTGCACTGAAAGGCACCACCAGGGTCCTCACCATCTGGAATGTGCAGCACCAGCCAGTCCTGTTTCGCGCAGTAATGAACAGCATGGCACAGCGTCATTGTTTTCCCTGTTCCCTTCTCCCCATCTCCAGCACCCAGGGTCAAGGAAAACCTCAGACAAAGGCTCTGAGCTAGGGATGGTGTTTTTTTGGGTGCGGAAAGCCTTCTCTTCCCGGCCAAGGATGAGAGGGGACGGCGGGAGGCTGACTCGTGTCACCTCGCACGAGGTCACAATCCCCTCTCTCTTGCTGTCTGCAGGGCAAATGAGGAAAGGATACAGATAATGTATCGGACAGCCGGGTGGGCAAAGTTGGTGCTTTTCAGATAACCAAGGAGTTCTAGAGCTGGTCTCCGCACCATGAGGCAGGCTTCATTGAATGTCTTCATCTTATAAGAGACAAGAGAAATCAGGAGCCACGTATAAACACACCTCAGCAGCTTCTGTGCCGACTGTCTGTCGGGGCTGCAGTTGCACCAGCCCCGACAGAAGTGGATTCTGTTCTGTGCACATCCCTCCAGCTTTTGGATCATGACTTTTTCAGCTCTGCTATATTCAGAAGCGCTTTCCTGGTAAGTCATCTACAGCGAGATGGTCACGATGGTTTCTTCTGCCCTGGGAATCTATGAAATGCTCCCCTATTAACCTGCTACAAAACGCGACCTTATGAATGCTACAATAGAACTAACCAGATTGTAATTCCTCACTTAACACGTTTTCCCCTATGGCCGGCCGGTGGCAGGCAGCTGTGCGAGGCTTCCCCTGCCTCCCTGCGAAGCAGCAGAATTTTGCTGAGAAAACTGAAAAAAAAAATTGGATTGACTCATCCAGATGTCTTGCATCCAGCCAGAGCGAGTTACCGGGGAACTGCGCGGTGAGCGGCAAACCTCCGCCGCTTTGTAAGGAGGCAGGGGAAGACCTGCGCAGCTGCCAGCGACCGGCCAACTGGGGAAACCCAGCCGCTGGCTGCAAGCCCCCTCCCCTGTCCTTCCCTTCCCTTCTCCAGAGCCAAACACCTTCCCTCCCTGCTATAACCCAGTCCCCTTTCTCCCCAACCTTATGTCCCGGTCCCAGCTGCTAACAACCCCCACCTTTTCCATTATTTTCAATGGGAAAATTGACCCCGCATAACACGTTTTCACTTAGCACGATCGTTTTCTGAAACGTATCTATAGTGTTAATGGAGGAATTACTGTATATTCGGCAGAGTGCCCATCACGGGCTACCGGCATCTCTGCCAACAACTCCTCCCTGTCTCAGATCAGAAAATTACCAACTAGGCTGAGCAAATCTCTGCCGGCCTCCCTACTGCCCGAGTAACCAGGTAGAACTTGCAACATGCCTGTGACGGGCCCCTGCCCCGTGCTTCATGAAACTGACTTATGGATACAAATCTGTGCAACTCGAGGATGCTTTGGACAAAACACCTCAAGTAACCTGTCAGTCTGAATGTCAATCTGCTGGGGCTGTATCTTGTATTTTGGTGTAAGGATCATTGTTGTGTGTCAAGTTAGAGCTCAGGAGTATGGGATGGTTTATGGTTTGAATTGTGCAGATGAAAGCCATCAAAGGGGTGTTTCCGTCAATGTCCGGGTGATCACCGGTAAACAGCCCCTTAGCAGTGGTTGGTTTTAGGCAGTGATGTTAACCCCCCTCCCTCACTCTCCAGGTAGGGTCCAAACAGGTAATTTTCCGTGGCAGGGTGCAATGTAGAAGCAGAGTTCTCACCCAAAGTGGAATCTATAAAACCACGGGTGCTGGGCATTTATTTGAAACGAATGCTTAGATTCTTGATCACAATTCTGCAGCAAAGGACAACCTGACAGCAAATTCTGCGATCCTGGCGCATAGCGGATCCTGTCGCACTCTGAATGGTATTCCATCACACTGTGTTATTCCCGTAGCTGACGGGGAAATGGTCAGTGTGTAACGGGACACGCTATGTGGTTTGTGAACACTTGCCTACCAACAGGAATAGGACGTAACTGGAATAGGCTTTATGCAAAGTTCTGCATGTGAGGTGTCACTGGAAAAGCGGTTTTCTACTGAATAGGATTTTCCCATTTGCACACATGTATCGTTTCTGTCTGTCAAGTTAAGGTTACTGAATGGTGTATTTCTAACTGCATATTCATTGGCTTGGGTCACTCCCAAGGAGTACACTTCAGGGCTATAAAGGCCCATTAGAAAGTGACAATGGCTCTTAACCTTCCTGCAGAGGGAAGTATGGAGACGGGCCTTGCAAAGACATGTGCCACTTGATACTGGAATCCATCTTAATCTCTGGGAGGGGGACAAACAGAAACAAAGGCAAATCCTACTGAAGGGTGGGAAGGGACGCAGCCCTGGTGCTCAGCTCTTCCTGGCTATCCCGTTCCAAGATGGCTGGAAACATCTAGGACTGCACTGGGGGAAGGATTGGGCCCAGGGTGGGAGCCGTTCCAGTCTGTGAAAGACGCTTATTGGAACAGCTTTGAGGGCGAGAGATTACGTGTAACCAGTTCTCAGGTGCATTCACCTTAGCTCGCATGTTGTGTTGAATTTTGCTTAGTAACCTACGTCGTCCTGTCTGCTGTCTCTCGTGACCACTTACATACAACCGTTTATACTTAGTTTTTGTTATTAATAAACCCTGTGTAAATAATTGTTACTGTGGGGGGGAGGGGGTCTGTTCATGCAGATTAGGGACGTGAAGGTGTAACTCTGTACACTACACAGTTAATCGATGTGCCTGGGCTCACCGGTTAACCTTCACGCTCACAGGCAGGCTCCTGGTACGCACAGGGAGCCATCTTAAAAGTTGGCTCCCCGCCCGTACTTGCTCCTGGGAAGCCGCCTGCCCTCCCTATGCTGCTGCGTCAGAGGCAGCAGCGGGGGAGAGGGCTGGAAAGGAGGGGAGCTAGTTGCCAGTATGCACAGGGAGCCAGTTTAATGGCCTATAGCAACATGGGGCAGCAGCTGGTATTTGCGGGGAACTGGCTTAAAAGCCGGCTCCCCACATGCAGTGGCTCCTAGGGAAATTTTCAGCAGTTACCTGGTTAATTAAGCACATTTTAACATCCCTAGTGCGCATCTCCCTTTCCAGTGGGAAAGAGGGCGATTTCGTAAGCTTGCACTGTACAGCTCGCTATGCAGCACGAGACGGATGCATCTAGGGCTCAGCTCCCAGAGGGGCTGGGTAGCTGTGAGCTGGAGACAGGTGTCTCGCTGGGCTGTTTTCAGTTAAGAGCTGCAGCTTTGGGGGCGTGGCCCGGCCCCAGTGTGTATGTTGAGCCAGATCTGCTAAGCTGCTGCAAGGCAGGTATTGAGAGCCCAAGCTGGCAGGGAAAACAGCTCAGCAACCGGATAACAGTCCTAAGGGGGCCCTGGCCTGTCATGCAGTGAAGACAAAGCTTTCCCCCTTCAGTCTAAGTATTGTCTCTATCTCCTGCTTTCCTTTTCCTTGTAGACAGCAGCACTATGACTAGTGATAGATTTCCCATGATAAGCACCCAAGCATAACAGCGAACACGCAGCCTGAATGATCAATGAACTCATTTCTTTTAAAAATTATGTTGAAGTTTCATGATTAGAAAACAATGTTTCCCAGTTGGAGACTTTTCTCTGCATTTATGTAATTAAAAAGCGTGCATTTAAATCTAAATAATCAAGATAAATACAAATAGCATAGTCTGTAATGAGTTTTAATCACTACTGGTTTTCTGAAAAGAACAGAAACCTGCGCCAGATATTTAACTGTGACTTTAAACAGCCCAAGCATGTAGTTTACACCAACCATAAGGGTTGTAAGTTAGTAGGTTGTTGTATTATGCTGGGAGCACATACACTATTATCTGCATTCAGAAGGGCCCACCAAGACATCAAAGCCAGGAAGTACTGAAATATTCACAAAGAGAAGAGCCATGAAAGCATTAAGGGAGGAGCCTCACTGTTCGGGATGTTTTATTGCATTTCTTGGAATATTTTAACAGGTGGGTTTAGGTGCCTGACTTCCTTGTCATTACTATAAATGAGTGAATTATCCACAGATCATTTCTGAGTGCAGAAGTGCAGGTGAGACAGCACGCTATGGCTGCAGCAGAAATCTGGGTCACCAAGGGAAAGAAAGAGCAAGGTGTTTTTCACTGACATCAAGACGTTTTATGAGCAAGCCTATTTTACACAAGTGACACCAGACAAGCCCCCGGAAGGGGCTGTGCTCAAGACCGACTGGACCCATAACCCATTATAGACGCAGAAGTTAGAGACTCAGGAAACTTAAACCATGTTCCACAAATCTCCCCTCCCCAGCCCCCTTCCGCTACACAGAGCAAGACCCAAGCTTCTCTCAGTCCAGCGTTCCCCCACCCAAGGGTCACTCCTGGCTGTAGGCCCTCCCTGCAACAACAATCCCGCTCTCTACAGACCCACAGCGACCGCATTCTTCTCGGGGACGACACGCCAGGGCCACGGCTGCCTGCGGTCCCTCGCCTCACAGTCCGAGTACCTGCGCCTGGAAGCGGCGGGGCAGTCCATGTGGGAACACCACCTTCACCTCCTGCAGGGGGATGCTGTAGTGCTGCCCCTCGTGCTGCTCCGAGTGGTTGGCCTGCAAAGTTAACACACACAGAGTAACGGCCAGATGAGCCAGCATATCCGTCTGCAGACAGAGAACCCCCCCCGGGGGGGGGAGGGAGACAGTCAAGTGGCACCCAGGCAGTATAATTAGCACACTGCTTCTAGGTTTGACTTGCTTAGCACCGGGGTGGTCCACAAAATGGCATCTTCAGCTGTGGGGAAGCATATGTAAGGGTGGGGGAAGCAGTGCCTCCTGCTAGCGGTAACTGAGTCCAGGGCTTCTTGGGGGATTTCCAATTTTTTTTTAAAATCAGCTTTGATCTAGGCAAGTCAATCATACCTCCAACCTATCAAGATTAGGGGGTAATCAATTAACCAGGTGATGCCATGTGCAGAACGATCTGTCCATGTGCAGATCGCTGGACAGTGCAGCTGGCTAGCGGGGCTCGCCGCGGTTCGGCAAGCCCTGCTTATAGGGGCAACACTTAACCAGTGCTTGGGAGCAGCTCCCTACCTGCAGCAAGCAGAGGGCTGCTTCAGCCCCACAGGACCCCTGAGTCAGGGCAGGAGCCGGCAGCTCTGCGCAGGGCCAGTGGATCAGGAGCCCCACGGGCCAGGGGCTGCTTCAGCTGGGTTGGAGGGGTCCCCTGGCCAAGATCCGGCTTAACTGGTTAAACCTAACGTTGAACAGGTTGACTGATCAAACGGGATTTGACATCCCTGATCAAGCTATTATTCAGGGATACACACAGGTGCAGAGCTGTGAAGCAAGACGACGCCCTTTTTACAGTCTCTTTTCAGAGTTTAGTTTTCATGTTGTCTCAGTGCTGGTTTGGCGAGACTCCCCTGTAACTAAGCTTTGTGACTTCTAGAGGCAAGCTGTGTAAGAAGGCGGGGAGATGAACCACGCGAGAATCTGTGATCCACAGCCTGGACACGCCGGAGGAACATGGATTTGATCCAGTAAGCAGCATCGGCTGCTGTTGCCAAACATGTATCACGCATGTGCAACCGGAATGCTAAAGCCTGTTGCCTGGCAACATAAATCCTAGACCTAGGACAGCGGAGACAATTCCTGCCATCTGGGCTCTTCTGTTGCAGTCTATAGAGATGCTCCGGATCACATGACTGGATCATCTGCATGCTGCTGTTTCCATAGAGACCTCAAAGGAATCGGCAGCGCAAGGGATTCCAATTACAGAGGCAGTGGAAAAGCACCTCAAAGGATTATTTCATTCATTTATTTCACTTAATTTTGAGCTTGAGAGCAGGTGAGACGGGAGCTGGACTCATCGACCCCGCAGGCCGGAATGCGCGGCTGGTTTCCCCCAATAGTGAATCCGGGGAGGTGAGTCAGAAAAGAATGACCGTGATGATGAAAAGAAAGGTGTCCAATGCCAAGTTCACCCACATCTGAGCTGCTACAATACACGGCCTGTTTAATTTGTACAGGTGGTACAAAGGAGATTGAAGGAGGTTTGTCATTAACACCCTACATAGCAGAGCATGGTTGTGACCTATTTTCCCTTTGCCTAGGGATCTCATTCTGGTTTCCTCATGTCAATAAGACATCGGTTATGAAGAATTCTTCCTTCCCACTCGTAAGCAGCAGACGATCTCAGTCAGTGAGCCCGCACTGGGCCCACGGTGCCTAAGGACAAATGCTGATGCACTCTGGGTGCAGGTTACGTGACACGATAGCAAATATGGCAATAACTTACCGGGTTGCTCTCATGGGTGCGGAATATCGTTCTGAGTCTCTCTTCTGGGATCTGAGCACCCTGATTAGCTGCAGCACTTAACCAAGCCCTAGCCTGGAGAAAACACCCAGGGTCCAGCTACAGAGGAAAGACATTTTTCAGCAATTAAAAGATCATAATGACATGCCAAAATGCAGTGAGTAGTTGACGCTTTGCACACTTACTACAGACACACCAGGGAACATGCCCTGTTCTGGGAGGAGGGGTCACAGCAATTCAGCTAGGTAGGAAACGCTTCGTGCAAAGCTCAGTTCTCTGTGTAGCCATTCTGCAAACTCAACTGTGTCGTTCAGCTCACGGACATCCATCTGCCACCCTTCCGGAGCTGAGTGCTCTGCTTAAACGAACGATCCCATTAAGGACAGCTCACGCACGCAGGGCAGCCATTAACATCTTATAGCGGAGAGGTTCCCGTAAGGTTTTTGCCTACAGTGATGAATGGCAGCTAGTACCTTGCAATTGCAAGCTGCCTAGTAATCCATAATGGCCCCAATTACTGCGGGATTAATACAGCTCTGCCCACTATTGGGTATTCAGACTTAAACTCCTTGCTTTGATTCCCCCCCTGCGTCCCAGCAGATCGAATTTTTCCTTAAAACAGAGCCACGAAGGAAAAACTGAAACAGCCAGTTAAGCAGATATAAGCTACTCTATCGGACCCTCCCGAAACGTGCCTGACAACCCCGACCAGCGAGGGCAGGGGGCTGAGGGTCGTGAGGAATACAAAGGAGACCTTAGTAGACCAAGATGGAAGAAATTGTTGACAGTGAATCTAGAAGCCGAGCTCAGAGATGGTAACAGAGAATAAACTGTCCCATGCATTAGGGCCCAGAGGCTGAGGAGAGGCCAAAACAAACAGAAATGAAAACCTGTCTCAGCATTACAGACAGCAACAGTTGCCGTCTCTCCAACTCAAGGTACAAAGAAAGCAGTTTCCTGCTCGGCTTCCCCAGACAGGCCATGTGTTCCCCAGCACAAATGGGAGCAGCCAAGATACCAAGATTTAGACACAGAACAGCTGCTTTAATTCCATTGTGCGTCCTGCAGCTTTTCTATCAGCATTTCAGGGTCTTATTGCGGGTCACCTGAAAGGGGTTTAGAAGAAAGCAGCAGCTCAGATTAACCCACATCAGCTACCACTGAGCTCCCGATTCAGCATTTCAGCTCTGTGCTTAGGGAAGGAACAAAACCAGGGTGTGTTCGCCGCTCTGCCTACCTGTGTAGCTAACCTTTGGGCAGGTAAACACCCTGCATGTTTACCCCACCAATCCGGGGTGCCATCCTATGGCTGGGTGGGTCCTGTTTGCCCCAAGGCTGCCCTTGTCTTCTAAGGCAAACCCAACATGGAGAGGGGCCTGTCGGCTTCTTTTTTAAGATTTTATTTTCATCTGAGATGTAGGACTGAGTTCGTGCTTGTGCAAGCAAGGAACCAAGTGCACACGCGAGTCAAGTAGTGTTGACACTTAGGGCCGCAGCCCTGGCCTGGGCGCACTGTCCTCCCCCCCGGAGCCTCAACCTGGGCATGCGCACCCTGCGTTCCTTGCAGCCCCAGGCTGGGTGCACTCCCTGCTGTTCTCGTCCTTTTCATCCCCACAATGGTGCCAATACTTCGACCTTCCACAGCCCAGGTTGTCTTGTTCAACTCCCCCCTCCTCCCGCTAATGCTGTTCAGCTCTGCCCTGCAGCATCCTGTTAATCCAAACATGCCTCTCCCCCTCCCGCCGTGACGTCCAGGTGATCCACACTGCACGGCAGATCGGTCAGGACTTTAGTGAACTGGTTCAAATTAGGGATGCGAATGTTGGTTAAAGCAGTTAAGTGGCTAAAGGTTTAAAATGACATCGGTTAACGGGTAAGCAAAGGCGCTCCGGCAGGCTGGAACAGGCCAGCTGCCAGCCCACCAGCCAGGCA